AGACTTTACATTTCTCTGACTCTGTCAAGCTCATTCCATTTCCCTGTCTGGGCTTTTAATACATCTCTTGGTCTGGGGCTTGAAAGGACTAGGTTGGACATGGAGAAAGGAAGGGGCAGATGACAAATACATATATTAAAATCATTCACAATTTCCAGAATAATTTGTGTGGGCAGGTGCGGTCTGAGTGAAATTAAAGGCAGTCTTTGATCTCAGTAGAATAAGAGACTACGTATGGATGCTTATTGAGCTGAGGAGGAAGCACGTTGTTCTTTTGTGTGAATGCACAATGTTCCAGCGCACAATGATAGAGACGGAGAGCCATTCTTCTTCAGCTTGACCTGAATGTAGCATTTGATGCCGGTTTCTATTTGTTTGTTTGCTAGAAACACTTTAATGGTTAAATACAAAAATCACCAGAAATACAGAGCAAGATGTTCTGGCATTTGTTCAGAGTTGGAAAAAATTGTTAGGTAACAGATTTTGTTTCAAGTCCATGGAGTTTTCCTTGATCTTTCCTTTACAATGCTGCTTTTTCTGTCATTGTTAGTACATTGCTTTGGAGTTCCTAATTTAAATGGCAGTGTGAATGCTTTGCTTCCTCATAATGTCATATCCATTTTCTGCTCCCTTGCTCGCAAACACCATGTTCATGCACAATTTGACATAATGGCAGAGTTTAAAACATGAAATTATAAGGTAATGTCTCACCGAGGGCTATAATCACATTAAAGAATGCTTTCCCAGTGATCTGTAAGATTGCTCGCTGCAGTGAATTTGATAGTTGGAGCATAGCACCCCCTGCAGGTGGGCATTATTCCTTGCTAATACAGTAATACCCTCAATGTTCGGACTGAAGTGCAGGCTCTTACCCTTTCACTGCAATTACAGGCCTTTCTACTTTGATTGGTGGGTAATTGAATTGGTTTGAGCCCGTATGATTTCCTTCCGAATTTGCCACTCATATTCCTATCTTGGCTGCAGATCAGACAAAGCCTGTCTCCCAGTAATTAAAGACGCCAAAGCCAGGTGTAGAACTGGGTAACTAGGGAAGCATAGTCAGATGAATGGGACTGATTAGGTGTTTAGTGAAAATGAGATTTTCTGGCTCAAAGACAAAGTGCAGCCTCTCACTTGGTGCTCGGTGATCGGTGGGGTGGCAATTGACTGCTGTTGATGAGGTACCTGAAAAATGACTTTCTGCATTCATCACATCTACAAAGGAGCCACAGTGTCATAGTCTAAATATGAGGGATACAATTCAAGCATGAAACAGGCTTTTAAATTGAACTTATATGGAAATATAGAAGATGTTTGTTCTAATTAGGCAGAAAACAGCATGTCCCAGATCAGATGTGGATATTATGAAGCACAGAGAAAAACAGTAAAATTACAAATGTTAAATATTTGTAGGATGGTGAGACTTTATTTGAATATGAGTTTAAGCTGAGGCAGTTTCATCTCACCCTAATGCTTTAATGGGAATAACATACTATCCTACACGGCAGTTTAACCAATACTTATGTGTTCTTCAAGTTTGGGGAAAAAGCGCCAATTGTATGTATTTATTTAAAATGGGAAGTTTAAAGATATTTTTGGGGGTTTTGTTTTTGTTTAATAATAGATAGACAAGACTCACAGGAGGGGGTTAGAGAGACGAAACAACATGCAGCAAAGTTAGCTTACTTTCACTTTAAATCTGTTATTAACCAACACATAGAAGTGGGCATTTTTTTTGGCATATTCAATATCAAGTGTATGAGGTCAAACAACTTTTTATTGGTGCTGAGTGAACAACAGCTGTGGCCAGGTCAAGGTCAGAATATTTTAAGCGATGGACGTTCGCCAATTGACTGAGTGGAACATTAGAGTTTTTTCTCCCTTCATTGAGACTGAAATGGATTTTAATCAACACATTATGCCAGTTGTTAATTGCTTTTGCCGCCTGCTGCTAAAATAATTTGCTACTTTTTTATTTTAGTAGTAGCCATCTGTTTCGAAACACAGGGACAGAATCAGGCCTAAACCCGGGGTGGATGTTGACATAAGATACAGGCGGCTAATTTGCACTGCCACCACCTTTATTATGAGGCTGAGAATGTGTGGGAAAGGAGGGAAAGACTCACAACAAGGATCTAAAATGGAGAGTAGAACAGTTATCTTTAGAAAACACATAAAAAAGGGCCTCCATGCATCTCACTTCATTATTTAGTCATACACTAAAACGATAAATGACTAGTCACTTCTGCTCAACTGCACCAGCCAGATAAACTGTGCTGCTTTTGAAATAGATTTCATCTTGGCCTTAAAGAACAAAGGCTTCCTTATGAGGCTCACCCTCTTTTAACCCCTGTCCGTGTCCCTTAATTGCTCTTAGTTGCAGACAGAAAGTGTCAATAGTGTCTCGAATGGACAATAGCCACGAGGGGCTCAGTGAGAGAAAGCTTTCACCCTGCTTCACCTCATATTTACTCTAATCAGTCTCACTGTTAAGGCACACATCAATGCTTGTACGGATGAGCAGAAAAAACACCTCTGCCCTTCTCTTTCGTGTGGACGCGGGTTTTCAACAGTTTTATGATTTGCAGGTAACTTGTATTAGAGTGAAGGGGAGGGCTTATGATTTTGCACCCCTTTTTTGTGTTTCTATTATATGCAGCCATAGAAAAAAAATGTGTGTGGAGTTTGCTTTCATTGTTTCACAAGTCTTTCTTCACCGCAATGCTTTTGATACCGAAACATGCATTGACATAAGAATCAAAGTCAGTAGATACGAATAGTAGCTGCAGCGGGGATGGTAAGATAATTAAGCAGAGAGTATTGTTTTTGCTTTAAGGAAAGTTATTGCAAATGGTCAGCTGAAAGTTAACCATATCATGAGAAATCAACCACTTAATTCAAAACAGCAAGCACTTTCACATTCAAAGGCAATCACACCTCATTTCCAATTAATAATCAGATCACATTGTCACAATGTCTCTGTGTGAACTCTCAGAGGGATAGATTCAGACTTTCTGGGGGAGGGTGACAAATGTGCTCTCAATTATGACTACTTTTCAAAACTTCTTCCTCCAGAACTAGTTTCTAATTAGCTGTGTGGAAATCCATTAGCAACTGTGCTGGGGATGTACATTATGTGAAGCGTGTGTGTCTTTGCGTAAGAGTTTCTGCTCAGTGGCTCATGCAAACAGCTTTTGTGTGCGTATGAGTGTGTTGCTCTTGTACTGCACTATAGGCAAAGAAAGTACTTTATATGTCTATGTGATTTGGAGGCGACATCTCAACAGGAGGGGACCAAGCCATCAAAGCCATCATGTACTTTAATTACAGGTAATCTCGACTCACAGACACTCTTCTACTCCCTTCGCTCTTAAGAACTTCCTCCTCAATTACCAAAGTGCCTCAATTAGGCCCTAAATAAGCAGTGGACACGCACACGGGGGAGATGGGCAAATTACAATAGGGAGGGTAAAAACAACAGGTCCTGTAGGAGCTGGTGTGATGCAAAGGCTATTATAAGACAAAAAAGTGTTCTACCACGCAGGGTGAAAATGAAAAAAAATAGAAGAAGCCTTTTGATGAGCTATAGTTCTGAGCTAAGTGGAGCTTAAGGGGCGATAGTTGAGGAAGAAAAGAAGGAGAAAAGAGAAATTAAAGACAGTTGATTGGCAAGAGGGCTGATGTCACACTGTTTCCCTACAGGACCATATGTCGGGGGGGCCACTCAGTCATCGAGGGACCGGAATGTGTGAGTAAGTCATGATTTCTATAGAGCAAGTTGGCATCCCACAGGCTGCCGATTCTCTACACTCTCTCTGCTTTCCCTCACATTCATTATCCAGCCAAACCCCATACACACTCCATCAACTGTGAAACTTAGCGGGCTTTTGAAATGGACAAATGAAAACCCCGTCTCTTTTAATGGGCTAATTCTGTGTCTAACAAGGGCCCTTGTTAAGGAAAAATGCTTTAGGTGCAGCCACCAGTCGAGTGCCTTGGTCAATTAGCTCAGATCCAACCCCGGATGATTGTTTGATAAATTAACAAGAAAGAAATACATCATCAAGGAACACAGGGGATAAATGAGAGGCTAATACACACAGCTCTGTTTATGTTAGTTTGTTTGTTTGTGTGCGTGGTGGTGAGTACTCACAGCGCTTGTCCACTGGATCAACTACATTTCATTCTGACCCGGGCGCCTGGTTGCAAACTGAGCTCATCTAGGTTTGCAGGAGGCTGCTCAGCGGATGACAGGACTGACATCAGGTTATCGCTGTGAAGGAGAGAAAGTGCTGGGCGCGGGGCGAGCAATGACTTAACAGCAGGAAAAGGTTGTACAATACATGGTAATCAAAGGGGGAAAGTCTTGCACCTCAGCCTCAGATTTTATCCAATTCTACTTTGGTCACTTGGTTGTATTTCTAGCAAAGAATGAAGTTGGGACAATATAAAAAAAGATGCTGAACAGCTCTCAGGGCAGCTCAGCATGTATCCAGGAGAGGGCAGTGTTATCCAGGGAAGGGATGAGGACTGTGTTTGATCTGAGCAGATGTGTGCGAGGAGAATCATTAAACAGCATATGTCCACTCAATTACCCCCTTCGTTAGTCTAATCCCAGGTTTTTTTTAAACTCATAAAGGGGTAATTAAATTCCCCATAAATTGAATCAGTGTGGAACAAGTCATAGTGAAGTCACATGATTTCTAAAGGACTTACTGGTGACCAAAGGACCAGTTTTTAATACAGCGCGGGACACACAGAATGCTGGATGATCTATAAACTGCATGTAGGGAGGTAAACATTTAGCAAAAGATTTATGTTTTGTACTAGAGCCGAACCTTTACCGGGAAAACAGTTTTAACCATATAGTTCAATATTTTGGATGAAAACTGTTTGTGTTCAGCATCAGTTGGGATTGAACTCAATTCTTTGTATAATGAAGTGTGGATGGTGAAGTGTCTGCTCAAAGTTTGATATGTAAAGGAAATCAAATCCGACCACTATTTTGCTCATAAATGCCTGTATAGGCTTTTATTAGAATATTTGTATAATAGATTTATAATAATTTACAAAATATTTCATGTTTTGACCTTCACAAATACATAGAAGATAGATTTGACTTTTAATTACATTCACAGTCGTAAATCTAGAAGTTGCTTTCATGTGTTTGGTCTAAGAACAGGTATAAAGTGACTGTAAGAAAATTGATATTTATAAGAGTAATACTGAAGACCAGAAGAGACATTATCAGAAACATGGACTAAAACAGAAAGACAGAGAGAAAGCATTGACATGATAGGACAACACACATTATTGTAGCTGCACCAACGTGATTACCGGATTTACCGAAGAGTTTACATGAAACAGCAGAACAGTAGAAAACGTTTAGAGCAGCAGCTTGGTTTGTTTCATGAATGCAACATGTCCTTTCGTGTCTCAGGCCGCCATAACACCATGTGTGCCTGCGTAGAAAACCTCAGCATTCTTAATGAGTGGAAATCACAGAGGAAAAGTAATACCTAACATGGAGGTGCAAAATCCTCCCTGCATGTCAAAAAGGCTCCTCAGCGGCAGTATCTGCACGCACAGCCGACCATACTTTTTGGAGAGCTCTGATCAAAACACACTTGAAAAAGTGTTGTTTTCAGGGGAGAGCAAGAGGAAATGAAACGACTTGAGTCAGCCAGCAAGCTTCCCGTCTCATCTGAAGAAAGCCGCAGGATAGGCTGCACCTCTTCCTTAAATGTCGATGAGGTCGTCGCTGCTCTCGTCGCTCTCCACAGTCAGCTGACGGGTCCACCACTTCTTCACCTCCGACCCTGAAGAAGCCTCATCGTTGACAGGATTCATCTTGCACACTATGGACTTGACACTCGTGCGACCTGACACACAACAAACACAAATAACAGAGATTACACAGTCGGAAATTGTCCTGTCATGTCAACTTAAGTATTCTTTTTTTCCCTCTCAGAATCTGAATTCTTTATTTATCCTGGGAGAAATTAGTTGTGTGACAGTTGCTCCACTTTGGAATATAAGATACATAAGAACATTATTAAAACACAATAACAAATATATATAAACATCAAAAGTTAAAGTGAGAATGTGAAATACAAATAAAAGAATATATCAAAGAAGTTCAAGTAAATACTAGAGGGCCCTTGCCATATATTAGTTTGTTTTTAAGTGACCTGTTTAAAAATCCCCTCTCTGTGGGAGGCGTGTGATACAGTGGGTTGTGCGTTGGTGTTCGGATCAGGGGTCAAAAAAGGTTCAAACCCCACAGCAGTCAGCATGTCGTTGTGTCCCTGAGCAAGACACTTCACCCCAAATTGCTCCAGTGGGGATTGTCCACAGTATTGAGTATGTAAGTAGCTTTGGATAAAAGTGTCTAACATGTAATGTAATATAAGGTCACATAAAGCTTCTCTCCAGTTCCCTTTAACAAAACATTCTCTGAGTTGCTTGCAATAGACAGTATGAAGCTCAATACACACCTGCAGGCAGCCGCCACTGTCCCAGCTTCCTCTGAGGTCTCCCCAGGTCTGAAGAGTCCTGCCTGTATCCTCCTCTGTCTGACAACGTGGGGCTCAGCAGCTGCTGGAGACCACTCATCTAAACAAAGCAGAGATATCCTTTGTTACACCACTGCGAGCGCACACCTGCAGGTTATATGATGCGCTTGCTGTACATCAAGCTGTGAGCATGTGTGAGTGTGTAAACAGGGCTGCTATGCATGTGGGGCTTTACCTCAGGCTGCGAGGGGTTGTCCGGGTTGTTGGTATTGTGGTCTTCACTCGGCAAGGTGGTCTCTATGCTGGGGGGGTTGAGGAAGCGGCTGAGCTCCTGCTGCTGGCTCTCTCTCAGGCTGTGGATGATGCTACACGACTGCTGCTGCTTCTGCAAGGGCATACGGACATATGTGGTCAGTGTGTGATTCTGTACGGCGGACTGTACATGTGTTTTTTTTGGAACTTCCCCTGGGAACGAGTTCATATTTGTGTGATTTCTGTTGAGAGGCTTACCGCCCGGATGCGCTTCAGGCATTTCTTGAGCCACATGCGAATGGTTTGCTTGGCAACCTCTTCTTCAATGGTGTACTCCAACTGTTCCCTGGCCAACAGCTCCTCCAGCTGGAGAGACTTTCTAATGTCCACTGAGCGATAAGACAGCATGCTGTACACACATACAACACACCCCACACACACAGACAAACAGCCAAAAGAGGGACATATTTAGTGGAATTAGTTATGCTTTTCTAAAATCAAAGATTATCGGCGCCTTAAAGCGTAAACACTACTTACACATGTAAAGCTGTGGAAATCAAAAGTGAACAGAAGCAGCACCAAACCAACAAGAACACTTCTAAAGTCTAAAATGATTGGATTTTATATGACTAACGCTACACTTTAAAACCCTAAATTATTTGTTTTCAGGGGCAATCAAGATAGTGAAGAAAATCAGTCTCCATTTCTCTTTAGAAGCAGGTTTTCTCCTTGTTGTTTTTGAAATTTTGAACATTTTATATGGATAAAATAGGTATAAATGTACATTAAAAAAAACGTGACTAGTAGAGAGTTACTGTAATATGTCATTGAAAACATTCAGTGAAGGAGGGTACGAGTGTACTGCTCAGTATTAGCCATAGACTCTGAATAAGAAGTGGTTGCAGTCACTGTGATATCAATCATTGGTTTGTGGACTACAGTTTTAATGGCTTTTGCCGTATTTTCTTTTTTTTGTAAGCAGCAGTGACACTGGAAAACACTGAGGTAGATTTGTGTCAATCACAAGATACATACACTGCTTTATTGTCTATTTTACTCGAAGTAGATCAAAAATGTGCTAAATGAACATCAATTTGTATGTAAGACAATTGATTAAGTAATTAGTGGATTTGCCTCCTGCTTCATATTACAAAGAAAGCCATTTTAAGATTTTTAATTCAACATAGGCTTCACTTTACACAGCAGTGGGTTGGCGCCTGATATTGTCGTTACATTGGGTTATCTTAGTGGGTTGGCCTTAAACACTTCTACACTGTATCTACGTCAGGTGGTTGTGGTGTTGCATTGTCACCTGAGCACATCATGGAAGGTCACGTCCCCTCCACTGTGCAGGCGCTCCATCTCATAGCACATGTGTTTGAACAGCAGCTTGTCTTTGTCCAGGTCCACCTCCAGCCGGCCTCGGAGCAGTCGAAGCAGGAACTTCACTTTGGATGTGGGGATCAAACCCTGGGGAAACATCATGAAACAATTGGGTTATTCAAGGCAGTGGCCTGATTCAAGTCTAAAATGCTGCATATTTTTTATTTACCGAAAAATACATTACATTACATTCTAAATATACTTTTAGATTTATTTTAAAGGTCCCATTTCATGGCCATTTCCACTGATCATAATTCCATTGTTGAGGTCTACTAGAATAGATTTATATTGTGCAATTTTCCAAAATCACTTTGGTTTCTCATACAGCATCTCTGTAAACTACGTGTATTCACTGAATTTCACTCTCTGCCTTTAACGGCTCGTTGTAGCTCCAATAGCTCCAGCCCCCACCCTCCCTGTGAGCACAGTGTGCTCTGATTGGTCGGGACGTTATGAATCGCGCTGAGCTCTGTGGAGGTGTAGTTTCCTTGTTTAGCGATACACAGCCAAACTCACCCTGAGCACACACAAACTCACAGCCGAAGTAAAAACAATAAGTGTGGCTTGATATTGAGTAAGAAAAAGGTTGATAAACGCTGTGAGAATGGGTCTGCAGAGAGAATTTCGCCGCGATCCCAACTGTCTGTTATCAGCCTGCAGCCAGGGAGGAGAAATCAGCAGAGCTGCCTGCACTGAGTGTGTGTGTGAGGAAGTCCGTGGATTGGTCAATTTGGACCAATCAGCGGGGGCTTAACGTAACGGCTCCACGGACGTAACGTAACGGCTCCACGGATTGGTCCATTTGGTTCCGGGTACGGTTGACATCATGCGTACCCGGAAGAATCAATGTACAGTGACGTATCTCCAACGAGGCGTTTTGGGGAGGTATTTTCTGTGTTAGAGTTTTACTCGCTACAGGGTGTACTTTGAGGGTTTTGACTCTGCAGACCGTTTACATGCAGAAAAACCTTCATAAACACGCAAGGGGACGGGTAATAACCGGAAAAGCATGACATGTGACTATTATTTTTCAATCATTTCCTGTTTTATTTTGTCCTTGAGGTTTCGTTATTTTCATGCATTGGTTATGGGATGTCAGGCCATAGTTACATAGTGACTCAGATACATATTGCTCTGTATGTTATAAGTGTACATGCTTCCACAAATAATTCATCAGAAAAGCCTACGGTACTTCCGGATGACATTATGGATGAATGAAAGGGGGCCTACCTTTTTAATCCAGCACCCACTGTTATAATTACTTTTACTCCTATCTCTCAATGCCACACTTCATTCCCTTCAGCCTTACTCATTAGCAATCATCCTGCTTTTATTTTCTCTCTATATTATCCTGTGCTCCAAGCCATATGATCACCACCCTCTCTCCTCTGCGGTGTCCTATAGCACATCTCTCACCTCCCGTTTGTCATCCACCATGTTCCAGATGATTTGGAAGTGCCTCAGGTCATTATAGCTCAGCAGCTGGTCCTCCTCAGTGGAGTAGAACAGAGAGAAGTTCTCCACGATGATGGCTGCAGCAAAAGCAAAATATATTAATACTCACGGATGCAAATATTCAATGATAGCATTTCATTTTAAACTGCATAACCCGCAATAGTATAACAATGGATGCTAAATGTTCTGTCACCCTTCATAGCTCTAAATGTCTTTATGATGCCATGAGTCTGAGACTAAATGGATGTTTCACAATAATGTCTTGATTGAAACCCAGACTTTTTCAATAATAAAGCTGATAAGAGCCTAAGAAAAGGATAATTCCTTTCACACCGTTTTTTCCACTCGATTCTCCAGCCTAGTTTCATTCATACAACAATCACTCGAGCTCTTCTTGCTTTTATCATCTATTGCTTCTTTTGTGTGTGACCTTAAGATATTTTTTTGTAAAGAAAGTGATCTTTATAAAAGGTGCTCTCTTATTGTAAAAAGTATCTGAGGGTTAACTTATGAGTCACCATCTGTGTCTTTCCAGACAAGATTTCCACCCATACAAAAGAGTTATATTCAGATACAGTCCACAAAACCAAATAATAGACTCTTTTCTTCCATGTCATTCTGCCTCTCTCCCTCTTCCTATGATGGCCTGTGACGTTAGAAAAAAATAATTATTTCTGCATGATGGAGTTTGATCATTGCGTTGATAATAAGCTGCAATAAACTACATTATACTCTCTGGAGAAACTTTTTATTGTCTCTTTGGAGAGATGACAAACCCCACAACTGTGTTTTATGAGCTGCAGTCTTGCGCAATAAAAAGCCGTATGAAATAGAGCCCTTGCTGTTTGTTTGCTTCCAGAAGTTTGTCATCCTTTTGAATTGCTTTCAGACAGGCACACAGTTTTGTGCCCAAGTTGAATGCAAGGCCCTATAATATGGGGGTAAACTGATTTGGTGCACAAAATAATAATAATAATAATACATGACATTTATATAGCGCTTTTCCTGGTGTTCAAAGGCCTTAAAATGATATCAATCTACACACACTGACCTACGAGTAGGTTGAGCATGATGTAGGCTATAATGACGTAGAAAGAGCAGAAGTAGATAAGCGCTCCAGCGTAGTTTCCACAGTCAGTCTCCCAGTAGCGATGTTTATCGGGGGTGCAGAACGGGGCCTGCACCTGGGGACAGGGAAATAAAACATAAATCATAACAAATGCTTCCTGAAATATCACAGTAAATGGTTTGGTTCACCAAAGTTACAACAGAAACATAGAGTGATACATATTGCCATGCAGACAGCCATGTCAGCAGTTTTGGGTTATTACTTTGCTAAAGAGTAGTTATGGGGGAAACTGCTGACAGTGCGGTCTGTGGAGTATCTCACATTTGATGTACAACTGGGAGTAACCAGAGTAACTGTATTTTATTTTAGCTGTGAGAACAATATAGAAACATCTATTGGCCCCCATTGTATTGAGGTAGCGGCAGAAAATTGAGGTGAAGCGACCTTTGCATCGCAACATATAACGTTAACAATTGACAGTTTTGTTCATTATTGGGAATGAATGGTTTGCTCATGTGTGTGTGGGTTTGTGTGCTGGATCTACAGCTCATCTTACCATACAGTCGTGCATGATTTTGTTCCAATCTTCCCCTGTGACAATACGGAAGAGAACGGTGATAGCCTTCCCAGCTGTGGAGAAGTTGGCATGCCTGCGATGAGGGAAGACAGCATCAGATAAGGACTAGTTTGACTTTATCTACTGCATACAGCATGTAGTGCTCTTCAGGGGGAACAAGCAGAATGAGGGTCTGGTCGATAAACAGAAGATCCATCTTTACCGGTTGATGTTCTCTCCATATTTGACAGTGCCAAAGAGCACAACGCCAGCAAATGCGTAGCAGAGGAGGAGGAGGAACATGCCCACGATAATGAAGAAGCTCTTGTACATGCTGACCACCACCGTCAACAGCAGCATCTTCAGAGTCACCTTTATTTATCACACACACACACATTTATTAGTATATTTGTGTTGATAAAATACACATTATTTTTTGGAGTTGTATTTGATAAAATACTTACATGCTTCCCACATATTGTAAAGAATCTGAAGACGATCACACATGTGCCCATCATGTAGGTGTATGCATTCTAGAGGGGGAAATAATTAGTTATTTGTGTAGTATTAGCTAAAATACTTAACATTGATTAAATGTTTTGAATGTTCCGTTAATGTGACAGCAATTTGTCTAACCAGTAAGGAAAAGTGCAGGACTATCCAGATGACGCCCAAGACTGTGACCAGCAGGTCATAGCGATTCCTTCTGCTCTGCCAGTAACCCGCTGGAGACATGGCTATCAGCTTCATGGTCACCTGGGTAACCACGGCAACACAAAGTCATCAGACAGACGTCTATTCCAAGAGGGCGCAAGTATGGTCAAACGTTAAAACGGATGTATGAGTAGAAAAATGAGCTCACCTCCAGTACAAAAATAAGGGTGAAGACCACTGACAAGGTGGCAAGGGGAAATGTTGCGTCACCTTTAACATCCCACTGTAACAAAAGCATATTAACACATATTATATGTGTTTGGCAGCTTGCTTAAACTTGTCATTCAAAATACATTAGTCATAGAAAAAAGGAAAAGTGAATAACACATTTACATAATATAATGACATGAGGCATTACCTTGACTGAGAGAAGCACCGACTGTGCCAGCACCAGAACAGCAATGCCCCGTTTAAAGAAGGGGTGTTGAGTGATGTCATACATCTTGGCCCGAAACCCCCCGTTTTCTGTCAAGCAGATAAAAGACCACAACATTTTCAGCATTAACATTCAGTCAGCATGTGACTCTTTGACAGAGTAAATGATCAAATTCATACATCTGAAAAGTCAGCTGATGCTTTATTTTGTGGTGGTACCCCTTATTCTCCTGCAGATGGCACTAATGGACTGTTTGTGTGTTCCTTTTACACACAATTGTGTCGCAGGGTTCAAACGCATTTATATATGTAGATGGTTTGTATCAAGAAAAAGTTTTTTTTTTAAAAACTAACAATCACAGTGAAAATGTACCTTTATATTGTTAGTAGTTACTGTAACATTACTGGCCAACTCTGTATTTCAGCTCCTAAAACAAAAATGTAGCTTAAACAGAAGATGGGCCCATTAGGAAACTGAAGCTTGTTTTAAAAAGGAATGGGATGGAACTAATGGGATTGGCTATTACTGAAGGCCAACCTTACTTTACCTAATGATACTATATTATATTTGCCCCAGGAGGAATATCACTGCTCTACAGCTTTCCAAAATGGCATTTCCCCTTTCAAATGCACTTTCTTAATCGTATGCTTATTTCATGTGTCAACTGTCCCCATGTGTCCACATCATAGCAGAAAATTGAATATCTAATGGACATGAAGTGCACGTTTAAGAATGTTACATCCAGTGGCAGCCTCCATGATTGAATATGACTCCAGAGCATAGAAACAATTCTTGCAAGTACTTTGATTAAAACCGTGGGAGTAAAGGCCGCCTCAGTGCTGTAATGATCTGCCAGTAGTGAGTGAGTGGAGCCAGAGCAGAGGGCCTCTGGATGTGGATCAAAGTCAGCTAGATACTGCTGGAGTCAGCAGCACTGCTACTAGAATTAAAGCCATTGATTTTCTGTTAGTTCTCAACTGTACTAACAAGCGTTTTCCCACACAGCCTCCAGGGTAATGCCTCTATTCTCACGACTCTATTCACAGGAGGAAAAACAACAGTTTAAATGCTCATTATTCCTGTGTTCCAATTTAATTGCTAGCAAGATAGAGTTTGAGTCGGTGGCAAATATTGGTTTTAGTGTTTTTAGCTCTTGAACTGTAACTTTAATTGTATTCAACTTTCATGCTCATCTGTAAATGTATATCCAGTGTGGAAGAAACTGGTAGTATATTTGAACATGTAAAATGTTGATACATTCAGTGAAAGATTCCCTGACGAGGGCTGTGACATTTATGATTCAGTGTCTGGTATATCCGCGTTATCAGTCTTCCTGTTCCGTTTTTTTATTACTGCTGCTAGTCATCATCTGGGTGTCGTGATTACTCCTCCAAGGCATCAATCCTCGATGAAAAACAAGGACTATTAAATATGGATTAATCATGAAAGTGCTGCTAAACAATGCATAGGCACACCACACCATCAATCAGGGAACACGACAAAGACGTGACTTTCATACTTTGGCTTACATTATGTTTATGTTTATTATGTTTATGTTTATTAAGGATCCCCATTAGCTTTTGCTCTCGACAAAAGCTACTCTTCCTGGGGTCCGACACTTAAAACAATAAAAAAATAATACAACATTATACTCTGTCACTGATTTGTTTTACAGAATTTAAACCATTTGGTGTAAATCTTTGTGTGTTATCTTGTGTGTGAGCACCTGGGCGGGGGGGCAGGTGGAGAGGCTGGGCGATTTTCAGTCGGCTCTTCAGATCCTCCCATCTCCTTTGGTCCACCGTTAGGAGAGCAGTGCCCTGGTGGTGGGAGACACACATTTTGAATACTGAAGCAGGTGTTTTTGCTAGCTTGGTGGTCTAAAATGAATACAATGTAACTGTTGCATCAACGTTGCTCTCTCATGTCTTGTTGTTTAGTCTTGTTACTGAAACATAAAGAGAAAAAAACACCTGCAAAGTAATCTTAAAACCTACGGATCTGTATCTTTATAAACGCCTCTCACCTTATTCTCGTTGAAGTTTGCAATAACGACGCCCACAAACAGAGTGAGTCCAATCATGCATCCCAGAAACACAAAGACATGGATGTAGATGCCATGGATCTGCAGAAACAGAGGTATTACAACTGTTACAGTGTTCTTATAAAATAGAAGTCAGAGGTAAAAAGAGCTCTTTGATGGCGGTGATTTAAAAGTCAAAGTAACAAGAGGTTCAGTACCGGTCCAACTCTGTGAATTATGACATCTCGGACCTCCACCCAGCCTTTGAGGGACAGCACTTCAAACAGAGCCAACATGGCATTTCCCACATTGTCAAAGTTAAAATTACGAGGGTTGGCCCTAGGGAAGGACAGAGTGGACACATCAATCACTGGCTGAAGAAAAACAACCATAAATCAGGCAGTAATAAAAGAAAAAGAAGCAATAAGTCATACCAGACTCTTGGTACCCAGAAACCGGGCTTCTTCTCTCCAGGCCTTAGCTTCAAGTTGAGGTTCTTGGAAACGCTGACATTTATCCGGAATATACCGTGGCAATCGTCCTATTATCAACAGCACAGTTTACAGGAAACACACGACAAGTAAAAGAGGTGGCTGTTAGTGAGGTGCTTTACGATAAAAGTTGTATGAAAACTTAAACAATTAATTTAGCAACAAACCATCTTATAATATAACAATAACACTGGACAGTATTTTTTAATTATTCATAAGTGGCGTTAATAAGAAGCCCTCATCTTAAACAATTCAAAAGTCATAACATTTGACAAGTTATATTTTTCTCTATTGATGTATAAGTTAATGGATAAAATACAATTTCTCAACATAAATCTTGGTGAGTACAATGATGTTATTATTAGTAGGAACAATAGCCAAAATAAAAAATAACATGTAGAGACTTGTTTGAGCATTATACTGTTAAACATCTCTAAGTGGTTTTCTATATAATAATATATGGCACATGCTAAAAGGAGTATATAAAAGGAACCACTGGAATTTGACTTGGATATCCCTTGTATTTCCTCAGCAGGGAGCGTACAATGAGAGGGGGGTTTACTGAGGAGATTATGTTTCTTGCTATACCCGAACATGGATATGGGGGTCGTTGCACTTTGCAAGCTTTCCGGCGAACAGTTGAACTCCAAAGCTTGCGAACACCAGCATCAGTGTGAGGAGCAGAATGGAAACCTGCAAGAGAATCGATCAAGAGTTTAAGGTTAAACATAATTATAAGCCTGTGAGATTAGAGAGCAGGATAAGGATGTCAGACAGCAACATGTAGAGACTTCTGATGTGAAAATCCAAGTCAGACCTGGGGAGAATCAGTAATTACTGGAGGCTTCTGATAATATAATAACATCACAGGTAGGCAAAGCAAAAGGTAATCAAAACCCGGAAATGGAATGTGATAACAACATCAGCAGAATCCAATAAAGAGGAATAAGATGTTAGTGTACAAATTCTGGTTGTATTTTTACATGTTTTAAGCCATGTACTACAAATCATAAACCTTTTGCTGCCGGACATTTTCAAAAATATGTATTGTTTTACAGATATTTTTACAGTTTTAAAGTGTTGGATTCAAGCATCTTCATTGGAAGTTTAATAAAATACTGCACCGAAGTCCAAGAAATAAACTACCTGCTAGACAATGGAAACACAGGTATGTTTCAAATAATTTCCTTAAGTTTTCTCTTGATTGAGTGGTCAGAAGTAAGCTAAAGATGGACAAGACTGAGCTCTGTTTATGCAAATGTATCTGCAAATGTCAGTAGTGCATATCAATAGAGAACATTGTTTTTTCTCGCTTCTAAGATTTTAATATTGTAATGCAAAGATGTACAAAAAAAAAAACTAAACATTAAAAGCTTTTTTTTAATATATGCACTATTTGACCACACACAAGTGGAAAGTGTACATAGCTAACCACTAACCAACAGAATCTCCTTGAATCCTTTGATGACCTCCCGTACCACCTTCCTCATCTGGGGCACCAGCTTGAAGATCCTGAGCGGGCGCAGGCTGCGCAGCATCATCAGCAGCTGAGCCCCCGACTCAGGAGGGACGTCAGTGGGCAGCCAGCACAGAAAGATCAGACTCACCTACAGAGAGACACAGCAAGGACAGCCATGAGGGTGAGTGGAAAGAAATAATGTTACAGACCGTGCAGTGTGTTCATGCAACAGGTTCACCATGTGATTTACATCAGAGGCAGTTTTAGACCAAATTAACCGGGGGGGCCGTGCTGGGGCCAGTGATATTAAGAGAGAGGGGCACATTTAGTGTGGGACATTTGAGACAAAGACAGTGATCAAGATATTTAACAATTTTAGCGTATATAAAGTCATAGTACAACAACTAAAAAACAAAAACATGCTGGTATTTTGTTTCAGTAACATCATTTTGGTCAGTTACATAGACTTATCTTTCTGAGGGGGGCCACAGGGGGTCCAAGCCCAATGTTAAGGGGGCTGACCCCTGTTGGCCTCCAATTCCCTTATCAGAACCAACCATGAGACTATGTTCTACTGCAACCCCACTGAACAATATACTAAAGTTGAAACTGTCTTTTGAATAAACCACATGTAAATTACAGACATTTCAGAAATCCAAGAACATTATAAACTGGATGACAGTGAGGCCACACAACTGCTGTTATTTACATAATAATAGTTCTCAGCTATTATTGAAAAAGGAAAAAAAGACTTGTGCTTAAAGAGCTTTTCCGAGGGTTTATATTAGATGAGTTTTCTCACGAGATAGATGAAGATGTCCATGACTCCTCCGAAGTCTCTGATGACGGCTGTGGGGGTGAAGAACAGACCGTCGGCCATGATCTTCAGGTTGAGCTCGATGCTCATAAAGATCACAAACACGTACTCCCCGATCTGAAACAGAGGGCATGGATGTATCAACAATCTGTCCAATTATGAATCTGCTCGCTTGCTCATGCAGCCATTGATCCATCTGCTTATTATTACCTGCAGTGAAGGGGCATGCATGACCCTGGTGAAGGGGGATTCAAACATCATAGAGATGCAGGAGCAGATGGTGACAACAATCATAACCCAGTCCAAATAGGTGACGAGGCCCAGGAGATCGCTGCACACACACACACATTAACCTTTAGAGAAATAGTATATTCACTGTAAATAGGTCAAGAAAGATATTTGGTTTGCACTCAGGGATAATAAAAAAAAAAAAAGAGAAGAGCAGACAAAGACAGAGGGAGGATTTGTGAGAAGAGGAATCAGAAAGTGAGTGAAAGAATCTGTGTGTGTGTTGTGAGAGCAGCCCGTCTCTCCCACAGAAAGATGTCAGTGAAAATCCCCCGTCGCCAAACAGTATCTGATACAAAGGACTGCCTCTTACTTTAATGATCAGACCCTGCGCTCGGCTGGATTACGATCAGGTTGCATAATAGGTGGAATCTATTTCACAGCGCTCCACTTCACAATTTTCATTCCTTACCACCAGTTTTTGGCAAGCACAACAGGCAGGTAATAAGGTGCAGAATTAATAAGTATTCCACTGTTGTAGAATGAACAGATCAATAAAGAGTGAAGGAATCAATAAGTCATCACACTTACTACAGCTGGTGGTAGTTGGTGTTCTTCACTGCTCCTGTAATGGGGTCTGTTTTGGATCTAGATATGAATTCATACAAATGAAATAACATTTCAACATTTCGACAAGACATTAACCATTTTTGCCAGTATGCTGCAAATTAAACAAAGCAACAATTGGTACAACAGAGAGTTTACAGATTTTTTTTACTGAATAGCTTAATTCCAATTTGTTACCATTTTGGGCCAGGAAACGCTGTCAATAGAATCTTAGAACATATAAAGATAATATGCTGATCTTACGCATTGAAGCGAGCTCGGACAATCATCCTGCAAAAGTTCCTGAAGCGGTGCTCCCGCCCCACGATGAAGAGAGGCTTATCAAAGTAAGGATGATTTTCCCTCAATTCCTCTTCCTGGACTTTTCTACACAGAGATGAGACAAAGACCAGTTAAGTAGGTTAAAAACAAGCAGTGAATGCACAACATACTTTCCTTTCATCAGAACCTTTCTGTACAGGCTGATAGTGTGTCAAAGTGTGTGAGGATACCTTTTCATCTCTGCTTGTTCTTTCTTTTCTTGGATCATCTTGATCTCACTGTCTTCTCTCTGTGCATTACGATAGCGAACTGTACTAGAATGCTTCAGAAATAAAAGAGACAATACAGGCATTTGATGAATATTGGTAGTTATAATAAACAACAAAAGGTGTGATTAAGAAACACTTATATATATATATATGTGTGTGTGTGTGTGTGTGTGTGTGTGTGTGTGTGTGTGTGTGTGTGTGTGTGACAGAGAGGGAAGAATCAACAAAGCCTGAGTGCTGTTAAAGCATTGTATAGCTACATAATATTATATGCAAGCATGTACAGTATAATATTCGTTTCACCCACATTAGGAAGTATTTCATGGTAGGGATGATGCATACACAGCTAGCTGGGGTCTCCAAGGATGGTGTCAATCCAAAATCTTATGATCTCCTGAGTTATGACCACATTGAAAGGTGGAGCAGGAAAGTGTAATAAAAACCTGCCTTGAATACGCATTGAACTACAGCCACTGAAATGTTATTTTAAAAAACAACATACAATTTAACCAAATGCAGCTCACTTCTAAGGTAGTCGTTTGACCTGCAAATCACTTTAACAATGCTGGGGGCTATCGACTGGTCTTACCGTAGGATTTTATTTATCGTATTTTCTTTTTCCAGGAGGTTACGAGCTCGGATACTAAATATTGACCTGCGAAGCTGAAAGAGCACAAAGTGAAAGTCCATCAGTTGATAGTTTGTTACTGTAGTGTACCATCCAAAAACACAACATACACAAAACTGTTTCAACTTATTGTTGTGTTTGTTTGTGTAAGTTAGAGAACAAGTGTGTGGAAGTACCTTTTGGTCGATATACTTGTTGTCTTCAATGGCTGAGCGTTTGGAGTGGTCACAAGAGGAGGATGATGCAGAGGGGAGACGCCGGAACAAACAACTGTTGTCCTGCTGTTGACGATCAATGAACTGCTTCATAAAACTCTCCCTAAGGTACACAAAAATACAGCACACACAGACACGATGAATTGTATGGCATCGTTTCCTACTTAAGAGCTCGATATCCTTAAACATGAAGAAATTATCACATTATATTATAAAAACAAACTATAATGGTGCAAATTGATATAATATATTGTAGCAGAAGCTTTCTGACACAAAATTGGTTACTATTTTCTAGGTGCAAATCTGAAATATTTGTCAGTATGTTAGATTCTGCTGAAAAATGGTGTCAACATCGACACTTTTAAAATGCTCAAGTCACAGTCTTGTTCTCACAAACTACTACTGTTCAATGTGATGAGCCAGTCTTTCTTCTGTTAGGGCTAATAAAAAAAGTGCCAACATTTTGTGTTTTTATTGGTTTCGTCAAGTTTCATTTAAAAGAGTAATCCAACTTTGTTTAATTAAACTGGCACTCATACTGCTGCGTTATATTTCAACTTTAGTCATCCCAAAAGTATGAGCTGTATACGTTCATTTGCCTGTGACTGTGTACCTTATCCTGGGCACGGTGAAATCAGACGGGAGCTTGGAGATCTGCACCATCTGAGGTCTGTTGGGGAACTTCTCGAAGATCCTGAGGCGTAGAGGGAGCTTCTCTTTGGTGTCAGCATTGGCTTCACTTTGCTTGAGCTAAAAGAGGGGGCGAGAGAATCAGTTCAGGCACAGCACAGCAAGACAAGTCACTGTTGAAAGGGAAAGTCAGCCACTTGATGTGAATGAAGAAGAGATTACAACAGGATACAAAAGGAAATAAGGACACTGTCACAGTAGTTTGTGTTTGGGAAGTTAGGGATTTTTGAGAACTGCATGAAGTAACCATTGGTATTTATGGAGAAATATACTTGAGTCTAAGCCTGGTAATGCATGAGACAACTGTGAAATGCAGATTGTATTCGAGGATGTAGGAGTGTAGCTGTATGTTTCTGCCTGATGGTGGCAGCAACACACTGACCTACAACACACACAGCAAATACAGTACAGACAACCACATTTAGGATGAGATCCCACTTACTTTTAGAAAATAATGGAGAAGGCAACAAAAGAAAAAGGAAAGATTACTTTGGAGTGGTTAATGGAGAAAAGAAAAGGTAGCGACAGTTGGAACAATGTGCATGAGTGCAGGCACACGTTGGAGAAATAAAAAGACGACAAAAGAAATGAAACCAATTATTTCCTTTTAATTACATATGAGGGAGGCTGATTGAAATCCCCTGCAGGTATTCTCTGTCTGGGTGCCGGGAGATAACCTCTGGTGCAAAGCAGATTAGGCTTGGAAATAAAATGCATTTGGGGCAACGGTGAGTGGCATCTTATCATTCAGAGCAGGAGACCGCTGTGAAACATATTGACTGGGCTCGGTGGTGAATATTTCTCCGTCAGTCATGCCGTTTGCCTGCCTGTCTACCAATGCAGACGTCCCTCCACGCTGTCCGTGTATATTGGTCTTTCTGTCTGCGCTTGTCTGAATGTGAGCACCGGAATGACTGGAACAGCCCCTTGTATCTGCGGGATAACAGCCGGTGGGAAGGAGAGACCCGACAAAGGACGGGATGGAAATCTGTCTGTTTTCTTTTTCTAACAGACTAAAATGTGGGAGCTGCTTTTTTATCCTGAGTGGGTGAGAAGTGAGTGGCATACTGTGAAGATGGAATTATGTGCCAGCGTTTGCTTGCCTAGCTTTTCTGTCTATATTATGTCTCCCAAGATAGACAGGAAAGAAAAAGGCAGAAACAGAGAGAAACTGAGCATGAGCCCAAAAAAAGTAAAAGAGAAATGCAGAAGAAAATAAAGTATGAGACAAAACTTAAAGGATGATTACATATAGACATGTAGATTATGGTTTTAATGTGACTTATAGCAATGAACAAAACACCACCTTACACTATATCTGCTTCAGCAGTGTGGTATTGAAAATAAAAACGAGTGGAGCAAAATATTGATCTTCTTTCCAGTGCTGCAGTTCTCCGGCTGAAACTTGCAGAAAGTGCTGCAGTCATCTCAAAATAGTACCTGCACATTACAGTATGTTGCTGAATTCCCAGCAAGCAGAACACACACAAACAAGAATGCACACATAGAGTGCAGGATTTATATGGACCATACTATTCCCAAAGGTCCTAATCAATTGGGCCAACTCAGCGAAATGTTCAGTTTAGCCAAGTCTCTACACCCTTATCTGCAGCAGTATCCCATTACAGCAAAACTGTCTGTGCCATGTATTGTCCTTTGTTGATCTATGTCTTAATCTCCAACTCTCAGAAGATTTTGTTCTTCCCCACCACAGCAAGCATCTTTCCACATCTCTTTATGAAAGACTGCCCCAGTCTAAGAATCTTATTTTCAACTTCCGATTGTTCAAAACCGTCTTCATCCCCCATCCTTCCTTCCTTTCTATTTTCCCAAAAGAGGAGAAAGAGGATCTGCGGGGAGAGGAACGGACTAAACATTTAAAAAATAATTGCTATTCAAATGTATAAAAAATGTGTAGCGTAGGTGTTGCACACTGTACTGTAAGTCAATATATTTGTTTATTTATTTGTATACTGCATCTAGGGACCAACCAACTACCATGCAGTCAATTTCATTTCAATTTACCATGGGAAAATAAATTAGAATCCACTGTTCCATGGAACATTTAGAATATCTTTTTAGGTAGGATTGCTATTGCACTTTATACCAAAATATTTAGAATGCTAATTTCTGAAGTGTTTGTCTGCTACAATACCAACGTTTAGTTTCCTCTATTATTGACGCAGTGTAAACCTGTAAAATATTTACCTGTTGAGAAAATGCACTCGTAAGGTACTATAGATAACCATTAACTACACGCCAACACATTGGGCCTTCTGTCTGGTCAAAGGATCAATAGAGCACACATGGAAGAGCTCAGGAACAGAGCACTTACCAGTAAAAATATATTATCTATTGACTTTTGGTTTGAGGTGTTGCTGTGTTATAGAAGATAATTTACTTTCTCCTTTACGTGCGCACATGACAATATTTTAAATGATGTAGATGCACATCTGTGTAATTAAATGCACCCAGTATATTTCTATATGTCAATGTAATTAAAGTGGCTGTAATCAATATGTTTGTAGGAGCAAAGGATCAATAATTATAGCCTATGTAAAAGGTATCACTTGTGGTAATGAACACACTAAGAGAGTATATTGGACTTTCAAGAGCCAGGGGGACACAAACAAGGCTCCAATGAATGCTAATGTTGCTCGGTATTTGATAGATGTGTGATAAGGCAACTTTGCTAAAGGGTTTGCCATCATCAATGTGTGGCAAAACAAATCAGTTGTTCCACATTTGAGTGTTTAAGGATAAGCACTTTTCCCGAGTGTGTGTGTTTGTGTTTTTTATGGAAAATGCCGGTGTTTCTCTATATGTCACAGTGAATGGTTGATAAGTCAAAACTACCGCTTCGCTTGCCACAGATGAGATTTAGTGTATAGTGGTGTAACAACAGAGCCAAGACTAATGTGTTTTGCCTTGAGACCCATTCAGGTGACCTGCCACTGCTTCCCCCTCCATTCAAGCCAATTTCAGGCTCGGCTAAGCTAGGGAGCTTTCCATCTTGGATTTCCACAGCTTTCCTTAACCAACGGTGAGCGATGGAGAAAAGCTAATGCTGACCATTAGCATTAGACCAAATCCAGTCATGGCCATAGTTCAGTGGGAGCATGGGGAGAAGATAAAACAGTCAGCATCAAAATGAACTCAGACAAGCGACTGGAGAGTCTAATACGATGGGGAGTGAAAACTAGCAGGGAGGAAACACATGGGTCAAACACATAAAACCACTCCATGGAGACCCTGCTCACTTTGGCTCTAAGTATCTAGACCTCCATGTAACAAGTGTGATAACATACAATGTACTTTGCTTGATTTGACAGCTGCAGTAGCAACTACATTTAGCTGAACTCCTCCTTTTACCCTTTTCTGTTTAATATAGTCAATCATAACATTTGTAGTAGAAAATTAAACTAAGAAAGCAGAAAACTGAATCTGATTGGAAGAAGCAGCAAAATATTGAATTAAAACCCTTTTAGAACGGATCCTCCAACTGCACCAAAACAACTTGGACATCACGGGTATGGCAGTTCAAAACATTAGAGGCAAGATCCTCATCTCTCTTTTAAACATTCTGATAATCTGAGTATTAAAAAAAAAAAAACACAAGTACCAGTTCTAAATACATGTTTTCCCACTGTGTAATTCATCTGAACCCACTGCCCAGTCCTGTGAAAGTGCATCAGAGAAATGCAAGCATAGAGCACAAGTGTATTCGAGGCTAGCCAATGGAACAATGGAAAACTGATGAACAACCGCCTACAAAAATGCTGCCCACACACACACTCTCCAAGTGCCTGTGGGAGGATGTACGTACAGTCATCTGCATTTTACCATTCAGACATCAGAGCCTGCCATTCAGCTACAACACCAGACAACAGCTGTGTATGTGTGAGAAAGTGTGTATGTGTGATCATAGACTACACATTTTAGTATTAATACAATACAGGCTTACTTTCTGAGTAATCGTTCATTCAGCATTGTAGATACTTAGACAAACAAAGTGAGTATGTTTCTGTGTATTTGTCTGTGTTTCCTATGACAGTCATATCCATAATCTTTATAAAAACCAAAATGTATAAACAGTACACGTAGAAATGCCTATTTGCACCGCACATTCCCTTACAGTCTTGGTTGGTTAACCCCAGCCTTGGGCCAGTCCAGTTGTGATACCCAGGGGTGGAAGTGTTGAGAGAGAGAGAGTTAGCAGGGTCACCCGCTCCTCTCATTAGCTGGGTAATGAGCCATGTTATGGAGCTGCTGTAAAGCCACATGGCCTGTAAACCTTTAATAGCTACCACCAACCAACACCCAAAACAACTGCAGATACCATCTCAAATAATCGTAAATCCCTGGGTGGTAACCTTTGTTGGATGTCACATCTTCAATGTTCTCTGATATATTCCTCCAGTAGCTTTTGTATTTTCCATCTGTTTTGTATGTCAGATCTGTGTGGATATTTACCATAATACAAACCAAGTCACACATGTTTAACTGTACCTGTTCAACACATTCAATAGAGTACAACATCTTGGAAGATAATTGATTCCAACCTTTTCAAATAGTTGCTCAACATATGCCTCCATTTTAGCCAGCCTCCTCAATTCTTTGTTTTTCCATTTTTGTTTGCAAAAATAGTTGTGTGAACAGAAATTTCATGACGACTGTATGTTGGTGTGTGTGTGTGTGTGTGTGTGTGTGTGTGTGTGTGTGTGTGTGTGTGTGTGTGTGTGTTCTTGATAGTTTAAGCACATGGCAGAGACATGGCACAGGGCCTGGAGTGTCTCCAATAGGAAACTGAAATGACATTCACAAGATAAGTACACATTGTATTGGGATTCTCAAGGGTAACGCTTTTCTGTTCTCTGCTCCCTCTGTCTTCCTCGCCTTTCTTCTCCTCCACTTAATCCCCAAATAAGTCCTTGGTCCATTAAATCACATACATGGAGGACAGGCTTTTAGTTTAACTCATAAATAATGAAATCCTTGGTGGGTTGCCATAGAACAAACCCTCTATAACACATTTGATCAAACTAAATTCTCCATAACAA